GTAATTTGATACCCACATTTCACAAGCTAGGCGGATTGCTTCGGCTATCCATTCAGGTTCCCATTTTGCTATCTTGAAGTACTCATCTTTGAAGGATGGGTGCAACACTGAAACACACCATTTATGTAAGCAAAAATAAACCAAGAAATGAACAAAAAATACTCACAAATTGCTATCCTATAAAGGGGTGATGTGTCAGTCAAGCTGTAGTACTTATTTGTTATCTTTAATCCTACTCGGCAGGCATTCTTCAATGCGGGTGGGTAGTTTGAATTGCTGATAAATGTCGAGAGGTGATCAGTTATTTGGTCAATAAATATTACTACATCGGAGATTCGAGCCGAGCCTGCTTTGGATATTTGAAGTGTGATCTTGTGAAACAGGTTGAGGACCTTGGCCAAATCGCACGCCAAGTCCAGGTCTGATTGATCCAAATAGTGTGCGCGGTCAATCCCATATGTTTTGTGGCGCTGCCACTCAAGACTTCAGATGAATGATATAGCACATTGAGTCAGCTCAACAGTATGTCTCCCCCAACTGTAAAGATAAAGACTTACATAGCCGCTTGACATCTGATGATGCTGTTGATTTGAATACTGGTAGAGTTCCATCGTGTTCGTACATCTCGTTCAATGTTGTGTGGTTTTTCACACCTCTTCTGTTGACAGATCTTGATGAATTCGGCCTTGGAAGTTGGAGAGTACCTCAATTTCTTTGCAATTGCGCGAAACTGTACCCAAAGAAAATATGACAGTTGAAAAGGATTGAATTCTAATTAACTTGACTGATAAAATTGATTGTAATGACTTACCTTAGCCAAAGTACGTTTACAAGAAACCGAGGTGTAGCGATCATCCTCCTCCTCTTCGCTAGCATTTTCAATATCGGCCTCATCGAGTGATTCATTGTCATCGAGATCTGCTCCGTACTCTGATTTCTCATCACTTGAATCATCACCTTCTGAGGTGGGGGAATCATCCCGGAGGCCCCGAGGAAGCCTAGGATGAAATGATGAAATCTAATCAGCAGCTCATCTTCTCTATAAAATTTCATGATAAAAGACTTTCATTAAAGCTTACACTCTGATTTGATCTTCAGGATCTTCTTGTTCAGAAATTGAACCATCTGAATCATTGTCAGCAGCCATCGATCCTCGATCTTTTGCGTCCTTCTTGTGACTCCCAAACGGCCGAAGAATCCCCTGGACAATTAAGTTGAGGATGTGCGCGAAACATCGTATCCATTGAGCGTCCCCATGGAATCGAGTCCACTTGAGCTTCTTGAGCTCCCGTACCATCACTTCATTATTCTTTGCATTGTCACTCACAATGCCACATATCTTAACAAACAATGAGGTATCAGTGTTATCATTAATGCTTGTTAATGTCCAAAGAATCCAATAAAATAAAACTCACTTTGTCTTGAATTCCAAATTTCTCAGCAACTAGGCGGACTGTATCGGCCAAGTACTCACCTGTGTGCCTTTTTGACAGGCAAACAAAGTCCAGAGGCATGGCCTCAAAAGTTCGGTTACCTGATTGATTATCTACTAAGCGATATCCGACTACACCCAATATGTCAAATCCATTTGGTGACTGCCATGTGTCGACTCCTATATATAATGCACCTTTATGTGCCTAAGAAAAGAAAGGTGAAATTAGCAAATGATAAAAAAAGTGCAGATAAAGAAAGTAGTAAAGTACTCACATTCAAAGTCACTCGGTATTCATCTTGTATAGCTGAATAAAGAAGGTGGATGTCCTTTGAGACCCTGCTTGGCGGTGGTAGGTGCTTGACGACTGTCGGGTGAAGGATTGCTTTGTGGCTGGCATCCACAAGTGAGGAAAAAGGCCTGGCAGCTTCTGCACACCAGATTGCACATAGTTGGGGAACCTGGATTATGCATGTAATGTTCAGTATGCTTACAACAGACACAAACCTAAAAGTAAAAATAAAAAGAACTTACCTCTGTGGGATTAATATCACCGGTTCCGGTTATTCCTAGATTAGCCAAGGATTGCATATTTTGGGATTCATTGTGTTTGCGGCGGCAGAGCAAGGCATGTTTGTTGAGATTGCTGCAAGATGAATCTGAGGTCGGGCGGTTGATCCGGGTGCCACATCTAAGCACACATGAAGCCCAAGGAAATCAGCCACAAAAAATCTGATTTATGAATGGTTTAAAAGAAAAAACAATAATAAATTAATGAGATATTAAAAACAAAATAGCTTACAGTTTGCAGGGATAAGCTATCATACGCCGGCCATGCTTGTCCCTCTGATCTGAAAGCTCTGGCTCCCTGTATGAAGTATAAGTTGAGCTGGCAGAAGATTGAGCTACCCTCTGGGCTCTCACTTTAGTAAAAAGCAAAAAAAAAACATACATTACATCAGCCTGAATGAAAAATTAAAAAAAATACAGACAGGCAGGAATAAATGACCAGAGAGTGAGATCTTACATAGCTCCTCCTGGTCAGTTGGGGCTTGTTCACTTGCAGATGGGGGCTGGGTGCATGGCTGGGTGCTTGGTGTCTCCTGGCTTCCATCTTCTTCTTGGGGATTGTATGACTGCGACGACGAGCGAGAAGCGACAGACTTCGCTCGGACTCGGACACGGCCGCGAGGTATGTCGGACATCCTGCAAAGTGACTTGCTTCGCAACGCTTGTAGATCGTTCAATTCGCTTCGGCGGGTTTTGATCGCAATCGATAAAGCTTTGAAGAGCAAAAGAGCAGCCACATCAGCTCGCTGCTCAAATGATAAAAAAGGACAAGGGACACATAGTGAAAGAATGGTGGCAGGGAAGAAAAAAAAAGAGGGGGGCTTACCGTTTGTAGGCCTCGTTGTGGGTCGTTCGATTGGTGATGACGGGTGTTTAAGTCTCTCGAGAGTCGATGGTGAGCGTCCGTCGGTACGGGTGTTCAAGTCTCTCGAGAGTCGATGGCCGTGAGCGTCCGTTGGTACGGGTGTTCAAGTCTCTCGAGAGTCGATGGTGAGCGTCCGTCGGTCCGGTTATCGATCTCTTGTGCACTACCTACCCGCCAAATGAGGTGGAGATGGGCGGGGCTCGGTCCTGGGCAGAAGTCAAGCCCCTTCGACCCCTGTGCAGCCCCCCCCCCTCCCTATTTTTTTAGACATCAGGCGGTACCTGTAGCGGTACCCGGGTACCGCCGCTTTTTTGCCCAAAAAACCGGCACCCGGCACCGCACCCGGCACCTCCTGGCGGGTGCGGGGCGGGTGCGAGGGGTACCTACCAGTAGGTACCAGGTACCTGCAAAAAGTACCGACGAACGATCTCTAGTTTAAGTAATCAATGAGTGAGAGTTTGGAAGGACATTTTGACTCATGACATCATTGATGTTTTTGGTTGGTGATGTCATTCAAACATGGTCTGGAAGAATTAAAATGAAGATGATGCAAGAGGTTTGAGTCTGGAGTTCAAAAAAGAACTGAGAGAATTAAATGATGACAATATGAGGGGCTTGAGTATAGAGGTATTGGGTTCAAATGTTAACAACTTCAGTAGGCTGCTGAAAATTGCGGGGGTGGACCCAAGCTGCCCTTGCCTGCTGAGTTTAGAAGCTTTGGCAGTGTTTCATCCACCCTCGCTCAACTTCACAGTCCACATTTGGCACAACTGTGACAGATTGGTGACACCTCAGGACATTAGGGGGGTTCACAATAGTGTTTTTCGCTTCCTGCCTTGGTTATTTTTTTCTTGCGCGCGACATTTCTTGCCTACTGGAAGCAGCCTTTTGCCCGCTAAAATGGAGAGCGCAGCATCTGCGGCGCCGCAGCACAGGACCCGATAAAATTCTCGTGGACACCACAACTCTTGCTTGGGAAGCGCTATTGTGAACCCCCCCTATTTGACTCCAGGCCACCAGAGGCAAGCCAATCCACCCCCAGCCAGTTGGAGATGCAAGGAGCATCACAGGCTAATTCAGTGTTCCTTCTGTGAAACCCAAACACCCACCTCACCTGATCATCAGATAGCAACTTTATCTTAACAATCCACTGTGTGTAATGTGCCTCACAAACCTTGAATTCCAGTTGCTATCTTGCAACCCAAAATTAGCAACTCCCATGGAGCACTTCTAAAAACTGCAACTCTTCCAATCCTAGGTGCGCTTAAGATTGCCTGACCCCACAGCAAAAAGCATCTGAACAGAGTGGGATTCGAACCCACGCCCGAAGACCGCCGGATTGCCATTGGAACGCCTCAGGACGTCCCTGGGACCTCCTTAAGACGGCGCCTTAGACCACTCGGCCATCTGTCCTTGCAGCGTTCCGCCGGAGCGGAGAATTCGATCCGTCTGGTTTGCATGCTTGGCGGTCATGAATGTGTCCAATTTTTCTATACAAAAATCTGTTGAATTGGAGGAACAGTCGAAAGTCTAACCAACGGTTCGGCGATGAGACTGGAACAGATGTTGAGCGCCGATTACAGTGGATTGCCGATTGTGATCGGTCGAGGCACGGCATCCGTGAGGGCCTTGATCATCAGAAGCAATGTTGGCGTCCAAAGAAGCGCGTGTATTTAAGTGCGTCCCGTCGGCTGATGTCATCAAGGAAAACATGTCGAATAAAATTGGTGTGCGGTGGTCTGATCACTCGTGCATTATACATCCTATTCTTGGTATCTTCCCTCGGGAAGTCTTCCACTTGATGAATTTCTCCTCCTATCTTTTTTTAATTTCTTCTTCATCTGCACTATTTTTCAATGCCCTTTTCCCCCTTTTTTAAACAGAAAGTTCGTCCACCATCAGCCAGCAAAGTTTAAGCCTTGTTTCAACTCATCAGACCCTGTTTGGAACTTGAATTTCTTGATTGTGTACACCACAGATTTATAGAAGATTTTGCTTCTTCCCACAACTGCTTATTTGAAATGCTTTTTCCTGGGGAGTGAAGGAAGTAGGGTTAAAAAGATTGCTGAGAAAACAGCTGAAATTGAGTGGGGAGGGGATTCATTCTGGCAATTATTTGCAAGCACGCATATGATGAGAGTTGAGAATGTTGGAGTCACGATCTTTCGCAGAAAAAATAGTGATAAATGCGTTGTTCACCTCGAGGTTGGCATGGGCTCCGGCCCGCCCGGGGCTTGCATCGGGAAGTTGGAACGGCACTTTGATATCCATGAAGCTCGGCTGCGAGTCGAGACTTCTTTGGCCAACAAATTGTTCTCAAGTCCCATCAGCAAGCCATCGGTCCGATTGGAAGGGACTTGGCCGTACGTAAATACTTCCCATCATGAATGACTTGCAAGTTGTTTCCTCCTGAATTGATCCGACAAATTACAGCAAACTTTTTCGATCGAAACCGAACACCGCCCCAGCTGATGGAACCAGAGGAGAAAAAACGGCTTGTGAGCCAATCAGGTGCGATGATTTCCCAAAACTTTCCGTTCAAGCACCAAAAACATCAAACTGAGTCAATCACGGGACACCTCCACAGTTTTGATCGCGGGGGAATTCAGACGACTTCAGAAGTACGATTTCTCTTGGCCGACTGATACTGAGGACGAGGCCTCGATCGAACGGCTCAGGCCGAAGAAAGATCTCCTTATTCGTTTAGACTCAGACCTTCTACCTTCAATCAACGAGCAATGCTCCAGACTAGCAGGATTGCTACGCGACCCACCTGACTTGGGGGAAGACCCGGCCTCAATTTTCAAGATCATCTCAGAGATTCAGGCCAATCTTCATCGGACTCTGCCCCAAACGATTCAGACGCTTAATGAACTCTTCCCCACCCAAACGATTCAGACGCTTAATTGAAACGAACGACCAACAGTTCAATGAATTCAAAACTTACAGACTCTATCATCTCAATGATTCTATCAGAACAGCTTTAAACAAGCACCTCAAATCACTATTCTCAGAGTTCCTTCAAGTTATCATCGATTTCAAGTGGGGGGACGAAACGTATCCATGTCTCATCAGGGAGGCAGGTTTTAAGATCAACTGGTCAATCGAGTCGGCCATCCGAATTTCCAGAGCCTCTGAATTAATGTTCATATGGACTTTTTGGAAGTATAGGACCTGCGAGTTCAATGAAGAATTGGAAGAACTTTTAAACCAGATGGGTCCGATGAGGCTCTTAGATGGACAAAACAAAGCCCTCTTGACTCCGCCAGCGGTAAAACTCGGTACCTCACTCGTCCCCGTCTTCAAATTATCTCGACTGTTTTTCAACAAATTATGTCGAGAAGGAGGAATGAAGAAAGAGGTTAGATTGTTTACAGATATGTCTTCTAGTCAATGGCATTTTTTGGACGAATCAATTGAAGATATCCATGCTTCAATTTTTGTCTTGAAGTGTTCAATCCAAGAGGCTGATGAAGTCAATCCAGTTGAGACTAGTTCTACAATCAATGAAGAACTCCAAATTCTCACAGAGATTTTCCAATCTTATCATTCTCTTATTGACCTTCATATTCTCCCCAATCTGTTCCCCGACTCCCTTGAACCCCCTTCTCAAGTGTATATCAAAAACTGGCTTGTTAATTGGACTACTTCTTTCTCAAAAGCTACTCATAATGCTATTCAAGCTTCCATATCATTTCAATCTTCAGCCATTTCTTCTTGATCCCCACTGCTTTTCAGTATCTTGTCTTTTTGAAAGAATAAACAAGTTAGATTGTAATAGTGTTGGTGGCCTCCTGTTGGTTGAGCAAGCATATTTATCACTTTGAGAGGCACCTCAATGACTTGGTGCATAGGTTCCTCTATGTGTTTCAACCAAGTTGATGAGAACAGACCAAGTGGCAAGTGGCACAGAGGTGGGACAACTTGCTGGTGGCCAGACCCTTCAGGAATCAAAGAATCTGGAGGGAAGACAAATAGACAAATATAAAATACTGTTGACCTCAGAGGTATGCTCCTATTGTAAGAATTTAGTGCCCCTTGGGTGCTTTTCCTTGGACTGGTCAACCCAAGTCAAAACAATTTTGGCTCCACAAGGGCTTGGGAAGAAGAGGTGAGTTGAAGATTGATTATTTGTTTGCTTACTTTCATTTTACACCACGAACTTTGACCCACCGCGGGGCAGCGTGAAATTTCACGTGGAGCCAACCTCCCCGCTCCCGCCCAGCTGTTTTGGTGGGCTTCTTTGCGGGAGGTATCCGCAGCCGCAGTGGGTGCAAACTCCCACGCTGGCTTCATGTGCATGCCCGCGGTCGGCGTAGCCGCTGATGTTGGCCTTCTGTTGGTGCTGCCGTCGGGATAGCTCCTAACGTTGGACTGACATTAGGGCCGCGGTCACATCCAAACAAAAAAACAGTGCCTCCAGGGCTTGAACCAATGTCTTCACATTGGGTCACAGTTACACCACGGGTTGATATTTTTTATTCGACCGCGTTGGCTTGACTGCGCAGTTGCAGGCAGGTTGGCACTGACCTGTCTGCCCTGAGAATCACAGCTCAGTCAGGATGTGGTGGGGGATCAGACAGGCCTACACCGGCCCAACCCACCCGATCCATTGGTTGGCCCAACCCTGCCAACATGTTTTGTTGACAGGCTTGGTGAAACATTGGTTGGGCATTGATGACCCGACCGACACAGTTTGGCACTGATGGTTGGCCCGACGGTGTCAACTAGAGATTGTTTGTTTGGACCTGGGTACCTGTTCATTTTTTCAAGAAAATAGATACCATGTACCGCACCAGACACCTCCCAGGGGGTACCCAAGGTACCCGTTGCAGGTACCTCAGGTACCCCCCCTCTCTTTTTCACCTAGTTTCACTCCCAGAGTCCCAAGTCACTTTATTATTATTATTTTTTTCAAATTTATTGTAAAATATTACTCACAAGTCACTTTTTTAGCATTTTTTAATATCTGTTGTAATATATCTACATCTAATTGGAAGATTCTTACTTTTAAATTTTTTTCATATTTATTGTAAAACATCAGTCCCAGATCAACGTTTTTATTTTGTTCATATTTAATAATTTATGAAAAGCAAGTCCAACGTTGGGAGCTATGCTATCCCAACGGCAGCACCAACAGAAGGGCGAACATGAGCTGCTTAGCCGTCCACGGGCACCCACGTGATGCCGGTGTTGGAGGTCGCGCCGACTGCAGCTGCCGATTCCTCCTGCAAAGAAGCCCACCAAAACAGCTGGGCGGGAGCGGAGAGGTTGGCTCCACATAAAATTCCATGTTGCCCCGTGGTGAGTCAAAGTTTGTGGTGTACCTACCCCACCAAACACCTCAGGGCTTAATCATTGGCCTTCCGGGCTACCAACAGGCCATATCACATTAGTTGGCTGGCCGTTCTTGAAGAATTCAAACCAATTGATCTTGAGTTTGTCAAGCTGTTTGATTTTTTTTTGTTTTGAAGTCGTTTTTTTTTTTTTTTTTTTTTTTTTACAATTCCCCATCTGTGTAGCCTTTCCTCTATGTGGAAGGAGGCCAGCGCACTTCTTTGGAAAGTGTGATTTGCTAAGAAAATGTTGGTTGGCTTGATGGGGGCTGAACTTGTTGACACTGTCGGGCCAACCATCAGTGCTAAACTGTGTCGGCTGGGTCATCCCAAGCCTGTCAACAAAACATGTTGGCAGGGTTGGGCCAACCAATGGATAGGGTGGGTTGGGCTGGCGCAGGCCTGTCCAATCCCCCACCACATCCTGACTGAGTCAAGCCAACACGGTCAAATAAAAAATATTGACCCGTGGTGTACACTCACTTTCACAACTTGGTTACAGCATTTTGCTAATTAGATGCAAGAAGGCTTCCAAAAGGACATGGATGGGCTTTTGGTTCCCGTAAAATATGAATTTACAATTTTTCCATTTTCCGCAAAGAGGGCATGTGAGACATGTCAACAGGTAGACCAAGTTAATGACTGGCTGTGTCATTCTACATAATATGATCATCAAGTGCAAACTTGGGCTGAATGAAGAATTTGATTATAGATACATGATAGATTTGAATTTATGAAAAATTATTTTAACCAGACTGCCTTAGGGTGACCTAATAGAATCAAGGTCAATTGGTTAGAAAATTTAGTGTTTGGCCTGTGGAAAAATTTACTATAAGTGCATGTGTCTTGCCTGTGTGGTATGTATTCATTCGAGTTGTAGCGCTGTATAATTTCCACTTTTCCATTTTTCACAAAATTCAGTCTTGTGGAAATGTTTTTTAGATTAAGAGTTTGGATATCAAGCAAATCACCCCCATACCCTGAAAAAATTATGCCCCCCCCCCCAAAAAAAATCAGGGTTTCACCTAGATTGGTGACTCCACAATGATACAGCCAAACAAGAGTCACACAATTGAGGAAGAAATGCTTGTTTTATTCCCCCCTTTTTATATCTTAAATTGCCCAGCTAATACAAGAACCTCTCTGCATGCTGTGATTGCCCGATGTTGACTAAGAGCATCTCTAATGCAAACTTTGGGGGCCTGGGTCACTTTTTTGCGCTCTAACAGTCCTCCGGTCAGACCCTGGAAGCATCTCCAGCAGCAGTCAAGCCCTTGATCACCCACAAACTTCTGTGGCTTACCTCCCAGCCGCTGTGGTCATTATTCCTGTGTATGAAGGGAGAAAATTCAAAATTTTATTATTTATCAATGAAGGAATCAAGATATGGACAAAGGAGGACCATAAATGGAATCTACGGCCAATTTAACCCCTAGTCACTCACTGGAACCACCTTCATATCTCTAGTGGATCAGAAGTTACAAGGATCAAGGATGTCACACGGAGAATCACAGGATCAGAGGCACACAGCTGGAGGGTATATTGCATATTGCATATTGAATTCCTTTTATTCATATTGAATTCCTTTATACTTACAGAGCCACAAGTTGGCCACCAGTTGTACCAGTTAAATTCCCATTTATTTAGCCACAGAACACATGAATTCCTTTCTTACAGCTTGCATATAGAAGGGATGCATTGTAGATATTCTAACCAAAATCCCTCAGTATTTTCAGGTACAGGGCAGCTAAAATGCCTCATACAGGGGGTACCTTGGGGCTAAAATCCCTCATAAATTACTATATAAGGAGGCCTCTGCCTGCCAGTTGTTTTCCTCCTGATCCCACTCAGTACACATCTTTGGTGGGACACCTGTCACAGATTACACATATTTATTACACAAGAAGTTAACGAGTAGTACAGTTCACAGATTTGAAAATATACACAGTTCATTTCACAAACGCTACACGGAAGAGCCAGTCCTTTGTTCCAGTCCTGGTTAAAGCATAAGTGCTCCCAGTCCCTTTGGGTTCAAGAACCATCTCTATCCCATTATACATATGAAGCAGCAAGGAAGAACACAAGTATCAAGACATTGACACAAGAAACAACATCAACAATTGATGACCGATTCTGACCAGTCATCAATGGTCATGCAAAACCATCAACTGGTGTTGATTGATGGTATTGTGTAGTTTATCCTCATTGATGACCGGTCAGTAAATGTAGTCAATTATGAAGGTGTGTGTGTGTAGTGTACTGCCATCAATGACTGGTACTGACCGGTCATTGATGGAGGTGTTGTACAAGTCAGTTTGTTGGATGGAGGATGTATGAAACATGGGGAGTATGATTTTATTGAAGTTATGAGATGAACAGCAAGCTTTTCATATCCTGGTCATGCTTTGTGCCAGTGATTTTAGCTTAATATCTAGCTGAAAAATTTCACCAGCAAGAATTTTTTAGGGGGGACCATAAGCCAAAAAAGCTATTGTGAACCCCCCTCATAGTGGGGTTCATGATTAAAATTTGTCAAATTTTAAAGCCCATTTGAAGGTCTTTATCAACATTTTT